AAAAATTCTCACAGGCGCCCTTCGAATTTGGATGGGCGCGTGCCCATTTCCCCCCCCCCCCCCCCCTGGCTACGCCACTGCTTGAGAGATAAGATTTGTAAGAGTCTCAGTTTATGTCAATGCTTTTTTAACGAATATTACTGATGTCTTTCGAGCTTCGAGAATAAGTCCTGCAGATTATCAGCTCTTTAAATTGAAAAAAGTAATAGAAAATGCCCTGTAAATCGCACACTTATGTCGAACTTTGACAGTTTCGGTTGCAGATCGACTCAGTGTAAATGAGAGTTGAAAGACGCAGATAGCTTAAATGATCTTTAAAAAAATGTAACTAATACTCTTTTTGTGAACGAGACCACTCAATTATCGAGTTCCGCAAATGGAAAGAAGAGTAGAATCTGTGACAAAAATCACGCTATTATGCAAAGCTTCAATATCTCGGATGAGAAACCGATCAGTTATGAGCGGGCCAACTGTTCGGCGTGAAAATGGGAAGCTAATCGTATATGTGCCAACGGCTAGCCGTGAGTGGCCAATCGGAGGGAGGTTGACAAACGACTAGCCATTGTGGGATGGGGTTTTCAGTCAACACAGTTAGTTCTCGAGAATTATTCACTGACAAAGAGTTAATCAGTTCGGTTCCTGAAAAAGAACAATCTCTGTCTTCTATTCACTCTAGTGTATGACATAATGCCATGGTTCAGTTGAGGACTAGTAGTAATCGCAGTGCCTTAGTTGTCTTTCAAAGTGTTTGAATGTGGTCAGCACTGGGACAATTCTTTCAGAAAAGGGTCAGCGAATCCAAAGGATGAGCGCTACTTGTATTTTATCTACTACACACTCTCTCAAGAGTTTCTGACGACCAAATTTAAGAAAGATATTCCTGGCGTTCATATCTTCTATCTTGAATCGGATGAAGTAGAAGAGACTAAAAACAAGTATATGAAAACTAGAAGCGAAAAACTTCGAGTAACAGGCGAGAAAGACTTTTCGTTCTATTCCCTCTATGTTCTTATTGATTTAGGAACAACACAAGACATTCGCAGTGTGCATGAATTCAATCCAATTAGCGACTCGACAGCTCAATATGATTGGTTTAACGTCTCGATCAACGCAAATAAGGACCTCTACTTTTAAATAAAACTCCTTTTTATGTTTTTGTGATCGATCATTTTTTTAAATTCAGATGTAATGATGACACTTAGTATTCAGACAGATTAAACTGTTCTCTTCCTCATTATAATAGATTTCTTTCGTATGAAGTTCATGACTTGGGATAAATTCTGTGACGAAATTCAATTCCATACGCTTTTTATAACTCTACTTAGAAGAGAAGACAAAATTTTCTTGAAACTAATTGAGTCAAACTCAAAATTAGTCAAAATATGATTGTTGTTATATTCAGAGAAAATGACTCAGCACATATGACTTTCAATAAGACCAGTCTGTACTATTATCGAAAACATGTCTAGACTTGTTCTCTTTTCTGAAAGAAAGGGCTATATATGGCGGTTAAACCCTGGGCTCGAAAAGCTTCAAGTTTGTACATCTGTTCAATTCAATCAGAAAGCAACATTACTTAAATCATTGAAATCTTATCGATAGCAGTCAGAGACTGAGTACTAGTAAGGTAACCGAGGTCGAGGAACTCGAATCCGTTGTTAGTTTTTCCTAACTCACTAAGACCCGTCTTCTTCCTTTCTTTTTCTAAAACATATTTTTCGGTATCTTTTCCAAAATCTTGTATATAAAGGTAGTGGATGAAACGCGATTTCTGGATATAATGCGTGCGAAGATAGCGGTTTAGGTCCTTGTGCGAGAAGATTTAGCATATTTTACATTATCGTATTTGCGATTCAAGAAATAAGAAAAAATGGTATCTATTTAATATCAAATTTGCATTATGAACTACGATCCGTAAGTGAGCGACCGACCAGGCGTTAGCATTCTAGATCAAATTTACAGTATACATTTGGGAAAACCTCATCAGACTTGAAGAAAGCTTTTGAAAAGTGATTTCACGAATGTTCCTTGATGAAAATATTCAAAAGAGTATCATTTTTGTGAAAGCAAAGAAAAGAATCAATTGTTAGCTAAAAAATACAGGCTAATATGTAAGCTTAACAAGTCGACGACTATACATTGTTCTTTTGTGAGCAACTTAGTAAAGTGTCCAGAAAATCCTTCATGTGTATAATGTGAAAGTAGAAAGTCAAAGTATAAAGATTAATGTGTAGCCATGTATGACTGGCAGGGGCAGGACGCCCACGAATTTTTAACCATTAAGTGATGGAGATTTTAGTAAACATAGCTATTATAGTTTATATTGTTTATTCTGAAATCAAGGTATATGAGAAGATGCAGCGTGAAACCCTCTACAGGTCACATAAAAAAATCTTAGTTTCTATGTAAGTCAGAGATGAGTATATCAAGAAAATACGTTGATAAGCGTATAACGAAGACAGAATATGGCCATCTCATCGTTTTTGGAGCAAGTATGTTGGTGCTGGATGTTTCTACCGGCTTTTTCTTTTCATATTCAGCTATTGGAAATCAAAACAGAAGAAACACGAACAATAAACGAATGTCACCAAGCAAAAAATACACTTAGTAGCATGTTCATTCATTGACAATAAAGATAAATGGAACGATTTGTTAGATATTTCTATTCAAATTTCGTAGATATTGAATCAACTTAGCATCGAATTACGAAAGCTTAAGTTTTTTTCTTCGCTTGTGCTTTGATTATCTTTCCTTTTTTCTAGATAGATATTCATGTTCATGATAACCGTGGTGTACTACCGTATTGAATATTTCGATGTTGCTACAACACACCTTAATTTCTTTACTAGTCTACGACAAAATCTTCGTGCAATTGTACAGCTAATTCTTTCCTTCATATTCGTGTAATATTTTTTCTTGACTTCTGATATCGTCCAAATCTCATTAATGAATCTTTAATTTAATTCAGTCAAAACAAACTTGTATGTGAACGAAATACATTTTGATCTAATCAAATCCTTCGCATTGTATCTCTAAGATAGATACTGTAAAGATAGAAGATTTACTCGACCATTTGTTTTTCGCTAAAAAGATGAACCGGACATATAAATATACAAAAACAAACAGTACACATTGACTACAAATAGAATTAAAAAAAGAACACAATGGTGAAATAAAGAAGAAATCTATTTAATGAGTATTCGTCGGTGTGAAAAGCGGTCGATATCTTGGTGGAGGTTCATTTGTTCTACTTGATGATGTCGATGAATCGTTCAATCTTTCTTGTTCAACATTGACATGTTGTTCAATTCCATATCGAAATGCACATTTTCCGATCATGACTGTTCGAACCGTTTGAGTTTGTTCGTGAACTTCGAATTGACCAGCACTCGCTCCTGTTCCACCTGCACGTAATTGCTCGGCGAAAATTGTCGCTAAGTCACCTTCCATGTACTTATAATAACCTCCAGTATTGTTTCGCGCACTAATCATTGCTGAGATTCGACCACTGAAACGCACTTCAACAGAGAAATCTGCTGAATATTCTTCCTCAGTAATACTTAATCTAAATAGAATTAGGTTAAGAACATAGAATATGTTGAAAATGAACTTCTTACTCAGCATTCGCCTTTGAGTGTGGTGCCACGCGAATCGCTGAATCGGCTGACCAAGTCATTTGTGTTTCAAATGTTGAATCTTTTCCATAATCAACTCGTTGTTCATGTCGAAGTCCTCCACCAACTTCCAGTACTTCATTTGGCAATTTCAATGTTACTGTCCCTTCTTTTTCTTTCGTAAAACCACGCATAAACGCGAATGTCAATGTCGTAATTGTTGATCGCTCAGCACGTAATGAATACTCTTGTTCGCTTTCAGTATTGTTAGAGAAATGTGTACGAAACAAGATTTGTGATTTGGGGATACGTAATTGAGCAGGTCGGGTAAAAACAGCTTCAGATTGCCAGAAATTCACGCGTTTCCAATTGATTTTTACATCTAATTCCTCTCGACGATATTTCGAATCTTCACGTGATCGTTTTGATAACTCCCACATTTTCCATACCTATGAATAATCAACATCTGTAATTTATCTTTCACCGCTAGAGCAAATATGAAATTTCAATCAGAGGGGAAAAGGACATGACATGTACTCTACATCTCGGATTTCTTCATCATTGAATGAATTTGACACCATTTCCTTATTAGAATCATTCAAGAGAGGACGTTTCCGTCTGGTATGAGAACAGAAGACAAAAAAACGATTTTTCTCTGTCTTTTCATTTCAAAGGATTGCAATTGAAGTAATCGATGTCTCGTCTTAGTGATGCAATTCTTCGTATTCGATTATGTTCAGTCTGTGAGTAATATATTGTACACCTGCTGTGTCCTCTTTGCGTATGTTTAAACAGCATGATGTCTTTCAACTTACCCATTTCTCGATGATTTCATCGAGATCAACAATTGTTTTGTTGTTTGGTGTGGCATCCAAACGTTCTTTGATTTCTTGTCGCTGAAGAGTCATTGGCTAGAACGAGAGAAGATAAGAATACATTAAATCTAGGAAATGATCCGTCAAATAGTGAACACATGAAGTCGGACATCAATTCTCCTCTATTCACTTGTAGACGAAAGAAATTAAGCAGAAATGATTCATAATCGGTACGCTACTCGATGATGGATTTCATAGCGTTGGCGTTTGTCAAGCATCGAAGTAGAAAAACAAATACAATATGCTTTCGCCTCGAAGAATAAACAGGAGAGAAAGAAATTCACATGTATCTGTGATTCAATCGATGAGTTTATTTAGTCAGTGAAATTAGATCGACTCAATATCGAACGAACATAAATGTATATTTTCACTCGACACACTCGAGACCAAACTTGCTTCCATTCGAAACTTGCACTAATGAGAGATTTATTATACACTCAACAGTCTCTTTGAATAGCTTTTCATAGGGATTTACTTACACTCTTGCTGTGAGTATTCAACATTGGATGGTTATGTATGAGTCTTTCGGTAGTTTTACCCGAAATATCCGTAAACGTCGCATTACTCATATTGGTTACACCCGACATGGTAAAAAAAGGAAAAAAAATGGCAACGATGTTTTTGATTCTTTGTCTGCAGCTGCTGCTTTTTTTAACTACAATCGTCGTCTCTGGTTCTCACATTTTTTTCCTCTTTTTCTCTATGCTTTACCACTTACGAGAGAATGTTGTGTTGATGACGAAACAGAGAGTGAAAAAAAGAGAGAGAATAGTTTCGGATGCTTATATCCAATCGGCGACAAGCACCAATCGAGAAGCTCTTCTTTCTCTACCATGGAAAAAAAAGAAGAGGACAAAGAAATTTTCCTGTTATCTTTTTTTTATCCTTCTCTCTTTCTTATGTGCAAATTCTAACTAACGTGTGTTTACACAGTTCGATAGGAGAAGAGTACGACCTCATTTGTTTGAAAGCTTCGTGTAGGTCGCATGTTAAACAACGATTATAAATGTCCATTGTCCCAAAGGAACTGCAACTAGTGGGTCACTAAGGTTTTTTCTATGAAAAAAGTAACTGTCATAAGGGCAAAAAGTCAATTAGTTTTCTTAATTCGCATACGCTTCTAGCTGAATAATATATGCACGAACGATCGGTAGACTACAGAGTGAGTCAATGAATGTGACTAATCGGATTGTCTGTGTTCTACTATTATTATTAGAAAAAACGAAGAGCTTTTTATAATAACTTCCTCTTGAAAAGATTGGTTTGAACTTCTTTATCTTCGCAAGCAAACTATCGATCAGTTAATTGAATTATTTCCGATATGTTTCTTTTCTGCGGTGATTCAACAGTTATTCAATACCTATCATAATTTCCCTTCCACATCCCAAAGAAAACACCAGACCGATCAATATTCTTCTGTCTATTTATACTTCTGACTTATCTTCATTGATTGTTTTTCTTTCTTTGATGAATTTCAATTGTCTATACAAAACTATTCGCTCATGATTCATCTTTTATCCAACGAAACTACATTCGGAGATGATTTTCCCTTGATCATATGTACTCTTTAACACCTCACTTATTCATTGTGACAGCATTAATACTAGTAGTTAATTCTATTCTTTCATCCGTTCTTTTGCCTTCGGCTATCATCAATGTACAATCTGGAAGAACAAATAGCAAGTACACTCGAATCAATTGACAACTCTTTTCAATCATCGCCCTCTTTCTTGCTTTGATCATCATCAACTAATCAGTTACTCTTAGGGACAATACTTTCTCTCTTTCCGGATGTGTTATTTACATAAATGAGATAAAGGAAAAGGAAAGTAGCTTACCAAACGACGAACCATGTTGATGAGAGACACCTTGCAACGAAATAACAAACGGATTAGAACGAATGAAGAGATAAATTTCGTCTAGTTGTTCTAATCTTTGTTCACTTGTCTTCGAACGTTGTGTAAACAATAATAACGCATATGAGAACGTCTAGTTTTCGCAAATAAATCACAAATGAATCATTTGTTTGTCAGTTCGAAACAAAGCAGCGAAGAAGAAATTTTCTCGTTCTTCTCATCGATTATGATGAGAGGGAAGTTTCATTAGATAAACACACATACGTACACGTATATTAAGATGATGAGTCTCAAACCAGATGGTCGACTGTTGATTGGAACCTATAAATATGATGGAGAGATAGACAAGAGCAAGCAAGTGGATAGGAAAGAGTGTGATTTATGGGAATAGCCACGCGTGCACACGTCAAACTAATAAGATAACAAGACACTAGAGACAAGTAAATGCATTCTTCGTTTACTATTCGCATATGCTTTCGATATTTTAACTGAGAAATTTTCATTTATATATGTTTTTTTTTTTGTGTAAAGGTCATTGTCTTGATCGCATTCCGTTTTTTTACGACATGTACTTGAACTTTCAAAGTGAATAGGAGAGAGAAGTTTTACCATTTATAGACAATCTCGTCTTGATTTGTTTGTAATTGGGATCATGTCTGTATTGTACATATACATGCGTATACAAAGCGATTTATGTGTTCATACGCCTGCAGGCGTATAGATTTCATCAGTTGATTGATTAGATAGAGAAAGAGCATATGACGATCGAAAATCAATTGAAATTGTGTTTGATCAGCTTTCGTTTCTTAACGGAAGAGAAAATAATCTTAAGATGCACATACATTTATTTGTTGAGAGAATACAATCAAAGAAGATAAGTTAGAAGTATAAATAGACAGAAGAATATTGATCGGTCTGGTGTTTTCTTTTTGGAATGTGGAAGGGAAATTATAATAGGTATTGAATAACTGTTTAATCA